GTGGTGGTGCATGCCTGTAATCTCAGCACTTGGGAAGCTGAGGCAGGAGGATTGATGCAAGTTTGAAACAGGCATGGGCTACAAAGTGAGTTCAAGGCCAGTCTGAACTGCATAGCAAAACTGTGTCTCAAAAAAAAAAAAAAAAAAAAAAAAAAATTTCAGAAAGAATGCAGGCACTCTTCTGCATTGCACACAGCTCAGGAAAGAAAGGACTTAATTGGTCTGGCTGTTTTCCTTTTATCAGAAAGCCAGGCAGAATCTTCCAGCAAACTGCCCTCTTCTTTCTCATTAACATCAAGAGTGAGCAGTACTTTGGGCATCCAACATGCTTTTCATTTTCGGTTTTTTTTTTCCCCTCATTAAACTTTGTTTAATGGTTCTCAAAATTTTGTAACAGATTTTTGGTCAAGTTGTTTCCATTAAAAAGTACTGATTTTTAAAACTAATAACTTAAAAACTGCCACACACACACACACACACACACACACACACACACACAAATGGTCCACAAAACATTCTCCTTTCCTTCTGAAGGTTTTATGATGCATTGCTATCATGAACCAGTCTTTCACTATTAAACTTAGATGGCCAATTTGGAGAAACAGTTCTGAGACCGGTCTTCTGCCACTGATTAAGACTGGGGTGGCAGGTATTAAGGATAATATTCATTTAACCTTCTGAGTTTTTTGGGCAGACTTAGTGACCTTGCCAGCTCCAGCAGCCTTCTTGTCCACAGCTTTGATGACACTCACAGCAACTGTCTTATATTGTGAACAGTAAAACGGTTCGGAGGTCGGTAGTCAGAGACACTCTCGACACACATGGGCTTGCCTGGAGCCATGTCAACGATGGCAGCGTCACCAGATTTCAAAAACATGGGTCCATCTCCCAGGTTCTTAACCACACCAGAGATCAATCTTTTCTTTCAGCTCAGCAAACTTGCAAGCAATATGAGTTGTGTGACAATCCAGTGCAGGGGCATAGCCAGCACTGATCTGGCCAGGATGGTTCAGGATAATCACCTGAGCAGTGAAACCAGCTGCTTCCATTGGTGGGTTGTTTTTGCTGTCACTGGCAACATTGCCACACTGGACATCTTTGACAGACATGTTCTTGACATTGAAGCCCACATTGTCCCCAGGAAGGGTTTCACTCAAAGCTTCATGGTGCATTTCAACAGACTTCAATTGTGACATTGACTGGAGCAAAGGTGCCTATCCTGCTGGGTTCGAGAACACCAGTCTCCATTCGGCCTACAGGGATAGTGCCAGTACAACCAATTTTGTAGACATCCTGAGGGGCAGCCACACAGGCTTGTCAGTTGGGTGAGTGGGTGGGAGGATGCAATCCAAAGCTTCAAGCGGTATGGTTCCACTGGCATTGCTATCTTTATGAGTGACCTTTTATCTTTTGATCTGAACTATGTTAGCACTTGGCTCCAGCATGTTGTCACCATTCCAACCAGAAATTGGCACAAAAGCTACGGTGTCAGGGTTGTAGCTGATTTTCTTAATGTAGGTGCTGACTTCCTTAACAGTTTCCTTATATTTCTTCTGGCTGTAGAGTGGCTCCGTGGAATCCATTTTGTTAACACCAACAATTAGTTGTTTCACACACAGTGTGTAAGCCAGAAGGGCATGCTCACGGGTCTGCCCATTCATGGAGATTCCAGCTTCAAATTCACCAACACCAGCAGCAACAATCAGGACAGCACAGTCAGCCTGCGATGTGCCTCTAATCATGTTTTTGATGAAGTCTCTGTGTCCAGGGTATCAGTGATGGTCACATAATACTTGCTGGTCTCAGATTTCCACAGGGAGATGTCAATGGTGATACCATGCTCACGCTCGGCTTTCAGCTTGTCCAAGGCCCAGGCATACTTGAAGGAACCCTTCCCCATTTTAGCAGCTTCCTCCTCAGATTTTCCAGTGGTTCTTTTGTCCATGCCACTGCATTTGTAGATCAGATGGCCAGTGGTGGTGGACTTGCTGGAGTCCACATGTCCGAGGATGATGATATTAATGTGTGTCTTTTCCATTCCCATGTTGGTTTTGATTTAGTGGCGGTTTTTACTACACCTGTGCCCTCATGGCAAACCTGTTGTGAAACAATGCTTTTCATTTTTGAAACCGAAGTTTACGATTGATTTGGCCAGAGAGCCCAGGCCATGGCTGTCCCAAGTGAGGCTTACATATTCAGGGTGTGATTCATGGCCTCCCTGGAAAGACAACTTCAGCCAGCACCTGGCTGGTGGCTCTCAGGTGGCGGTGGCACTGAGAGAGGCTGTGGGCAGGGATATAATGCCTCCATGCCCACTGCTTCCTGTCTACTGGGGCTTCCCAGAGCACAGTGGTCCCTGCACCACAGCATAACGTCATCCCCAGAGGTGGAGACTGACTACCACGCCCTCCGCTGTGGTGCCCCTCGCTCTGCCTCCCATCCCCACAAGCCTTTCTGCTTGCTGCTGCCCTGACTTCTCCAGCTTTCCTCCTATCTACCTTCTGTCCTCTGCTCTTTCTCTCACTTGGATGCATTTTCTCCTCCCTGTATATTTAAGACCTCCTTGTTGTCTTGAAAAATAAAAATTGCATCATCAGCCCATTCCAAATCAGATCCTTCACCACCCCCTCTTGTTCCATTCTCCATCATCAGCTTGTCTTCTGTTGAGGTCAGTTTGAATCTGATGTGCACATTCACTGGCTTTCTTTTCCCTCCCACTAGTTCGTCTCAGCTTCTTGAACTTTGGATCCTTGGGGTTCCTCCTCTGTGCTGTCACTCGGGCTCCCTTCCTCCCCGCTTGCTGAGTCTTCTTCCACGTGTGCCCATTCATTCCCTCATGTTCAGCTTTTATTGTCATGCTACTAAATTGACAAATTATGTTTCTAATACCAGCCTGTTTGGAACTCTCCTCAGCCTTGCTTCTTTTTCTAGGTTGTGAGTCTGGACTGTCCTCAGTGGAAGGTGCTGTCGCCCTTTGACATGCCCTCTCATACTCAGATCTGCCTCCTCTGGCCTCACCTTCCCTCTGTACTCTCCCAGCCTGGCTCTCTGGCCCTTCCAGGCTCTGGTCAGGATGCATGGCTCTTGGCCAGGAAGGAGCAACAGGTGTCCTTAGGGTCCTAGATGGTACACCTGGTGCTGCTTGATCCTGCTTTCTGATGCTTGCTGTCTCTGTGCTTGGTGACCCGACCGTTTGCATGACCACCAGCTTAGAAGCTCACCTGCTGGCCTATCTACACCTGACCACACTGTCTGTTCCTAAGATCAGCCACCTCTTAGGAGGGCTGCTGCCAGCTCAGCCCTACACAGATACTGGGATGTCACAGCGTGCACCACTCCCCTGGGAGAGTTTTACTCTGGAGTGTCATCTGTAGAGGATGTGGATATGGACTCATGCAGCCATTTAGTCATCAGAAAATTAGTGGCCATGTCCAGCCACACTCTTAGGAAGGCTCTCCTGGTGTTCAGGCAGCAAAAGGCATACCTGCTGAAGCACCGTGGGGCTTTTCCAAGCCCCTGCTGGCTGCTGCTTTCTGCCTTTTTATTTGTCTGGGCTGTGAATGTAGTGGATGGTGTGTCCACATCAGCACAGATCTTCCCATTCGCTGCCTGCCCGCCCATCATCCCTGGACACACCCAGACTCACCCAGAAGTGTGCGTCCATAATCGGCGAGGTGGCCCTTAAATCTAGTTGAGTTGACATCACAGGGAGAGAGGGAGAGATCCCTGTTTCGTCTTTTTCTTAAGGGACTAAACCCTATGGCTTCAGCTAACTCTAGTCTCCTCAGAGGCCTGCATCCCCCACCACACTGTCATGGAGTTTGGGGTATACTCTGTGTGCTTTGCGTTCTGGTATTTTCCTCAAACCACACCTTACACTTTTCATCCCACACGTACTTTGGTGGCGATGTACCATTCTATTCAGGGCTGTACCCTAGATTAGTCAGGATCTTTGAGCTCAAGACGACTGTGCAGCACATTTGGTACTATAAATGCCGTTCATGTTACTGTCTTAGTATAACGTTTGCCTGTCTGCTTACTCCTAAAGGGTGATTCCTGGAACACACCTAGGAAAGTTCTAGAAGCCAGATCTTATTGGTCCTCAAACTCACTCCACACCTTGTGTAGAGAGGCATGAATTTGCAGCTCTCAAGTAAGAGTGACCAGGTGGCCTCGGCCACCCTGCTGACTTCAGACACCTGTGTGGGTTGGTTCTGTATTGGAGGGAGGAGGACAAAATTACTTTACAGGTACACAGTGTATCTTATAGCTACGATGCTCTGTGTTTAGTAATCTAATGGTTTACCTATGTGTGTGTGTGAGAGAGAGAGAGAAAGAGAAAGAGCGAGAGCGACAGCGAGATTGATTAGGACTTGCTACGTAGCCCAGGCCGACCTTGAACTCAAGGTGATCTTCCTGCCTCAGCCTCCCAAGTGCTGGGATTACAGGTGCGCACACTACGTTCGTTGACCTCTGTGTTTAAAGATGTGAAAAAGTATGCTCGCTCCCTCTGTGAGCCAAACAGTGGCAGACAGTGCTTGTCGCTGCCTGGCGTGCCTGCTGTTACAGAACGCTGCCGTTTCTCGCCGCATCCCAGGCCCACGGCCTTCTAGATCAGAGCGTTCTGAAGGGCTTTCTGCCTGCACAGGCCGCGCTAGGCTTGGTATTCTCTGCAAATCTCCTGGCTCAGGGTGAGCAGCTCCTGGAAGAATGAGGGTCAGGGCGGTGCTATGACTTGTGTGGTGTGGGAACGCAAGCCCTGTGACCCTGGGACATGGCCACGTGGGGTGGACGTGAGCGGAGGAGGGGTGGGCGGGAGACAGCGGGCGCTCTGCCCTGCGCACTGCGGGAGAAGTAGGGTAGCATGCGCAGTGAGCTCAGCATGCATCTCCATCGAGAGTCTCCTGTCCAGAGCTGGCTTGCGCAGCAGTGTGCAGCGTCAGTTCCCTGCGCGGTGGGCCTGGGAAACCCCGCACTCACGCTCTCTTTGCCTCCCGCAGCCACGAGGACTTCGAGTTCATCTCGGGCACGCGCATGCGCAGGTTGGCGCGCGAAGGCCAGCGGCCGCCCGAGGGCTTCATGGCGCCCACCGCCTGGGCGGTGCTGGCCGACTACTACCGCGCGCTGGAGAAGGCGTGAGCCGCCGGCCGGCCGGGACGGTGCCAGCGGATGCGGTGCCAGCGGACACTGCGCCAGAGGACAGGACGGAGGACGGAGGAGGAGCACGCCCGCCCGACGGGACCAGCGCGCTCCCCGCTCAGCCCCCACCGCCTTGGTCGGTCGCCCGCAGCTTTTAATGTCTCTTTACACTCCTTGTACTACTCACTGTTCCTGCCCCCGATTTTCCAGCCTTGTCTTTTTTATATCGTATTTATCCTTCTGTCTCATAGCCTCTGCAAGCTCTTAGATGAGTTGTAACCATAAAACACAGCCGCACTTTTTCCTACCTTAAAGAAAAAAAAGGAAAATTACTAAACAACACATGTGGCTAGACCTTGTCTTGGAAAATTTGCAGGACAGTGAGATGTTTTTTTTCCTACATGATCGTGTAAACCGCTTCCTCTCTTCCTTCTAATTCGCTATTGATCTTTTAATTGTTATAATCTAAAACATTCCTAGGAACTGGATAAGCTCTAAACAGACTTCTTTGTTCAATAAACTTACTTTTTTTCTTTTTTTGGCTACTTATTCATATGGCTTTTTCATTTTTCAAAGAGAGAACAAAGTAGTATTAAGACAGAAAAATTACCAATGATACAGAATTTCACTAAACAAAATATGAATTTCACAGTATTTGCTGTATTCACAGTGTTGTCTTCAAATTAGTGTTCACATTACCAGATACATGCATGCAAAATTGAAAGAAGAAAAGGAATATAAGAAAGTAAATGAAAGAGAGGAAAAAGAATTGAAAAAAGAAGATAAAACAAATTAAGGATTAATTGTTCCTTTCCATTGTTTTGCTCACACATTGTATTTCTCTTTTCCTGAAAAATTTTCTGCTGCGCATGGCAGGATGCTCATAATCTCAGCACTTGGAAGACTGAAGCAGGAGCATCACCGTGGTTCAAGGCCAGCCTGGACTAGGTAGTGAAAACACAGCAGAATTTCTGCCAGATGAGGGAGCATGTACGCATCTTGATTGTAAGGACCTAGTGGTCAGCTCCTGACACCATGTTACTTCGGAGAGATTGGGGTGCAGGGGCTATTTTAAATGGGCAAATAGTGAAGCGCACTTAGTCCACCCGGAGCCTTAACCACTTTCCCCAAATATGTCTGTAGTGGTCTTAAAAGTAGCAGTCCATCAAGGGTTTCGTGTTTGGGTAGGCATTATTGCCTTAGTTAAGAACCCTGGCTGGTGTCACAGGAATGACCTCTGAGTCACAGCGGCTTAGCCTAAAGAAGGCTTTTGTGGTCTTAATAACGTCATGTTCTCCTCGAGGGCTGATAGAGTCTGCTCCCCTTCACCAAGGAGTTTGAAGTCCTGTTCCCATCACTCTGTACCACCATGACAAGAAGACATTTTGGAGGAAAAGAGCATAAAAAATTAAAATTGTGCGTAACGCATCCCTGTATAGCCCTGGCTGCTCAGGATGCTGAGGCGAGAAGATTTCCTGAGCCTGAGAAGTTTGAGGCCAGTGTGGGAAACATTGGGAGGCCTTGTTACTAACTCACACACCGGTTTTGAAGTGTGGCTTGCTGGTAACCCCGTCCCCTGCTAGCTGCTTGGGAGGGACAGCTGGCACAGCTCCGGGCACAGACTTGCTGCCTCCGCGAGGCAGACACCACTCAATTTCAAGATGTTTTATTGCCAAAAACATTTCAGAAAGCTACAACTACAGGAACACTGCATCTAGAAACTTCTTTTCGGTCAGAAAACAGCTTGTCAACCTAAAATGAGATGCAGGGGGTCCGGCCTTTCAAGATGTCGACTTTTCAGGAAGCGTGGGGTTGCGGCGCCCCGCGGATCATTCAGGGCAGCACAGGAAGGCAAGGGCTGTTAAGGGGAAAGAGGGGCCAGCTGTGTGGGCGTTTTGAAGCAATGCTATGAGGCTGTGGCGATCAGCGGTGCAGGTGAGGCCAGGCCGAGGTTGAGCAGGCCGTCACTAGGTAGGTGCCTTTGTGGAAGTATTTGCAGTACAGGTTGTAGTTTTGACAGTTCTTATGGTAGTTCTGGTTACCAGGCCAGTGGGTGTGGGTGTGAGTGTGACACCCCACAGCACACAGCACTGAGGACCTCCCAGCTCCATTGTCTTTGGATTTGACATAAATGACTCCATTTTGATTCTGGCATTTTTTCCACAATTCTTTCAAAAGTAAACCTAAATTTTTTTTTTTTTTTTTTTAAATCAGGAATCAAATTCATGACCACACGCTTGCGAGGGTGGTGCTGAGCTATATCCCCACCCCCCAAATTTTTGTAAAATCAAGAATAAAGAAGATCAGATGATGTGTGACCTAAAATGTGACTTGTGCTTTCTTGTGTAATTGTCCTTTCTGCGTCTCTTCCCGCTGTGCCCTGGCCTTGGTCCACCAGAGAGGGGCCTTGGTGTGAGCACAAGGGCAGAGAAAGACCTAGCAGGAAAGAAAAGCAGCTGCCCATTTCCACCACTCCACAGGCTGGTTTGGGCTTTTATTACCTACAAATCTGATACATGGGGGAATTTTATTTTTCTTAGTTCATAAAAATGAACTCACACCAATCTTTAAAATTTCAGCCCCTTTGCCCAAACCTCTCCTGCCAAGAAGTCTTGGAACTCTCAGTGCCATTTTTATCAATCTATCCACTGGAAAAGTGGATGGAGAAATTATAT